TGTATGCGCTACTGGCAGAGAGTGAACTAATAGTAGGAATTTTGAATAAAATAATAATAATAATGCATTCATATTTAGAATATTAGAATAAATATTTAGAATAAACGCCGTATGTTTATACACTTGAGTAATATTTTCAGAGAATTATGGATTTCATAGTATACTTTCTTTCTCTTTTTAGTATTTCCAAATGTTTTAATAACAGATAATTTCCTCAAATGTGTGGTGAAGGCCGTAGCCTACTGGTCATGGTCACGAATTTGTATATATATATATACCTGGACTTGTTCTATAGTGGATTAGAGTCCTGATACCACTGAGTGAGTGAGAGTCACATTAACGTCGCACTATAAATCTGCACGAGGGCTGTTGGTAACTGACCTCTTAAATTTGACCATGGTCAAGTGACGAGGACGATACCTGTGCTTGCACCCCCCTCTTCTAACTTCTACACCACACCAACGTATGTAGCATTGAAAACAATGATGATAGCGCGTATCATATTAAGTTTTTTTCCACCCGATTTTTGAACTATAAAAGGCTTGCTTGACAAAAATTTGAATTTAAAAGTCGATTAGAAACTACCAGTAATCTGTTATTTCTTTCCGTACTTTGCCTATAGAAGCCTATTGGTTATGATCACGAAGTCGTGGCCGGGTTCAAGTTCATGCCATGAGTTCAAGACCTGATACCATGGAAGATTCACAGTGTAGAGGGGTTGATGCACGTTAAATCAAAGTCCTCCCATTAGTGTAGTGTGGAATTTTTAAGAAGGGGTGCCGGCTCAGGCCTTATGAATATTATTTTATTGAAGACTTATCACTCATAACCCTCAATATGAAGTTATAAACTGTCAATCAAAACTTTGTATGACTTTTCTAGATTTAAAGAAGCAATTTTTTTTTTTTTTTTTTTGTTATTTTATATAAAAGATTTAAAAAATATAAAAAAAAAAAAATTTTTTTACGTTTAACTGGAAGAGTATTAAGAAAAAAATTTTTTTTTTTTTTTTTTTTTTTTTTTTTTTTTTGTAAATAAAGCTTTGAAATAAATAAATAAACTACAAGTTATTAACGTTTCCATGAAAGAGAATGAAGAGAAATTAGTAAAACATCTGGAATATCAACTTATAAAATATAATTCATTTGAGAGAAACATATATACTTCCAATTAATGATTAAATAATGCGATTATTAAATCCTTTTTTATTATTATTATTTAATATTTGTACTAGCTATTTACTTGTAGCAAAAGTTTATTTTGTCTCTATCAATCTTTATTTGCTTTTATGTAAATATTAATTAAAAGAAAAATAGGCTTTTTTAATAAAAACTATATTTTAATAAATCTACTTTTAACTGTACAGCAGAATATAGAAAATATATTAAGTTATTTGAAATCCACCATTTAGTATACCCGATGAAAGTAGCCTTATTTTCAAATAAGTTGATGTTACCTTATTAGTTTATAACAATCTGTTGCCATCTCCTATTAAAAAATGGTCACCTGTAATGGTATTTTCTAACTTGATTAGTAAGCTAAGAGAAGCTAATTAGAGCTAAAAGATTTTAAAATGAGCGTGCAGAATTTTTTCTAAATAAATAATGTACATTTTTAAACATATCTATTTAAAATTTATTGAATATGCTTTTCTTAGATTTCAGGTAAATTAATTCACACAGTTTATTAAATTGCAAACTGTCTAGTGAGGTCTAAAATGAAAGGAGTTGTCTATCCAAGAGTT